ATTTGAATAATTTGTATAACTAAAAAAAAGAAATATATTTTTAAAGTTTGTCTATAATAATGACGACGAGTGCTTGTCAACAATACTAGGTTATGTCAAATTATTCTAAGTACAATAATTTAAGTTAGATTAAATATTTGATATATTTGAACAATTCGTATAACTGAAAAAAAGAAATATATTTTCGAAATTTATCAATAATAATGACGATGAGTGCTTGTCAATAATAGGTTATGTTAGATTATTCTGAGCACAATAGTTTAGATTGGATTAAATATTTGATATATTTGAACAATTCTATAACTAAAAAAAAGCTTGTTGATAGGTTATGTTAAATTATCCTGGATTAAACATTTGATATATTTGAATAATTTGTATAACTAAAAAAAAGAAATATATTTTCGAAATTTATCATATAATGCTGATGATGAGTATCAATTGAATGCTAGGTTATGTTAGATTAAATTAAGATTTTTAGATTTTTATGAAATAATAACGATTAATCTTGCCAACATATTTTTTTTTAATATAAAACAATATATTGCAAAAAATAAAAAAACGATAATCAACGATAAATTGCAGCTGATTGTCCTGATCCGAACTGCAGTGGCCACGGCGCATGCGTTGCCGGTAAATGCTATTGCAAAGCAGGCTGGCAGGGTGAAAGGTGCAACCAGGTCGATCAGCAGGTGTACCAATGCCTACCCCGTTGCTCTGACCACGGCACGTACGATCTCGAATCCGGAAGCTGCGTCTGCGAGGGACACTGGACCGGTGTCGATTGTTCACAACCAAGCTGTGGCCTCGATTGCGGGCCGCACGGAACCTGCGAACAGGGTCTTTGCAAGTTAGTACGCGTTCTGCATTGCATTCACTATCGCATGCGGCTGCTATCGTCCTTCGCGAATTTAAATTTAATTATCCGGACGCGTACGTATTCAGTAGGAAAAGTGATGCGTGTAGTCCTTCCTCTTAACCTCGTTTCTCAATCTGCTATATTAGAGACAGATATTTCTTCAATTGAAAATAAATGTATCCAAATTATACAGAATTTAATCAAGATAACATTTTCTAGTTTTAACAAAAAAAAATAAAGAAATTGAAAGATATTGAGGGATCTTAACTCTGTAAGTTATAATTATTAAAAAAAAAGGTATAAAAATTACGTATTCGACGTTAAATTGAAATTAAATTGGGAAAATAAGAGACGTTGCGTAAAAAGAAGGGAAAGTGGCGGAATCCTAAGCAGGGGGAGAGAGGGGTGGCGCTTAGAGTGCAGGGGCTAAAAATGAGTAAATTGCCGGCGAGATCGGAGGCACGAAAAGTCGGAGGCTAAGGAGGTGAAAAATTGCGAGAAAAAGGCTCTGTCTTAGGGGTGGCCGCCAACTTATCACTACTCGGGAGGACCGTCCTCCCTTCCCACCTTCCCTTCCCTTTGTCAGAATCAAGGACGCGAAAGAGGATCTCTTTTCTCATATTCTAAAGCTGGCGCCTCTCTCGTCCCCTCCGCTTTCCCGGAGAAAGAGCGTCTGCAAGCGCAAAAAGTTCCCACCCGCGGATGACGAGTTCGGAACTTGGCGGAACCCGTGTCCTTTCCCTTCTCTCCTCAAGGATTCCACGCGGAGGGAATCAATTTTGCATTTGGGAGATAAAGCTGAGCGCATCCCTCCCAATAGGGATTGTCCACGACACTTTCGGAATATTATCTTGAATCGCGTGTTGCAATCTCTTGAAACTGGATTCTGATTTCTTGAGTGGAAAGAGGACGTGTGTAAGACGTTGAAAGAATCTGGGAAACGCGATCTTGATATCTTTAAATTTTAAGCTAAGATTAAATCGAAGTTTAACGGCTTTATTTTCGATATGGTTCGATGTTTGATTAAAATTTCATTGTAATATTGCAATTATTACGGGAGAATTGGAATTGAATTTTCAGTGGTTGAAGAAAATATGGGTTTTCAGGTGCAACGATGATTGGACTGGCACGAAATGTGATCAGAAACCGTGCGATCCACGATGCGCGGAACACGGCCAGTGCAAGAATGGAACTTGCGTGTGCAGTCAAGGATGGAACGGACGACATTGCACGCTGCGTAAGTAAAATATTAATTAATATGATATCCATAACGGAGCATTTAAATTTATTATTATGGATACTTGAGGAGTCTTCTTAAAATTAAAGCTTAAATAATCATTGTTTTGTTAATTTTTATTAATTTTGTATTTATCTGAAATACAATATTAGATATAATTGTACTGAGACTAAAATAAGTAGAAGGACTCAACGCTTTATCAGGCAAAGAAGTATGAGACTATAAAAATCAGCCAAAAATTAATCAATCAATAAAAATTTAAACACTTATTCGTGTATTCTACAAATCTATTTTTACTTACTTATTTTTATGCCTTATGTTATTTAAAAAAAAAAAAAATATCTAAAAAGATATATAAGATATATAACCTGTATTAAAATATCAAAACTAAAAAACGTATTTCAACTTTCAAATCTAGGTTTAAATTTGAGCTCAAAGTATTTATTACAAATCGATGATGGCATTTTAATCGAGAATCGTTTCTATAGAAATGTAATTTTTTTCCGAATCGATAGATATATATGTATACATTCTATCACGAAATCACGTGTATCGTTTATTTCTCGAATAGGTAGTATCGGTTTTCAATTAACTTCGATCGTTGCCCCGATATCTTCAATTAAAACATTCTCTTGACAGCTGGATGCGAGAATGGATGCAGCCGGCACGGACTGTGCACTCTGCAAGATGGCGAATACAGTTGCGAGTGTTCAACCGGTTGGGCAGGCAGGGATTGTAGCATACGACTGGAAATGGAATGTAATGACTTTATTGATAATGATCAGGGTAAGTAAAATATATTGAAAATCAAAAGGAACGAAAGGAATATATATTATTACATCAAATAATTTCTCTGTATTTAATATACTAAATTAATATTTTTCTATTTGTATACAAAATTTAAACAAATCTATTACATTAAATTTTCAAAAAAATTTCAGCAAAGTTAAATTAAATTCACTTCTCTTCAATTTCATAGGAGGTTTCAATAGAAAATTGAATTTATCAAAAGTTTATATAATTTTTAATTGCGTTTTATTCGGTGAACAATTTGATCCAAAAAGCACTGTTTCTCAGATGGCATGATGGACTGTTCTGACAGCGAGTGTTGCTCGCACGCAGCTTGCGCAGAGCATATCATGTGCCTTACTAGTAATAATCCCGTGGACGTCCTTCTGCGTAAACAACCGCCCAGCGTGACCGCGTCCTTTTACCAGCGTGTGAAATTCCTCGTTGAGGAGAACAGCGTACAAAGCTACGCTCATATGAACGAGTACACCGAAAGGTAAGATCGATCAATTCTTCTCATACGGTTTTCACATTCAGTCAAATCATTATAATATTTATAGATGAACGCTTAGTTGTATATATACTTTATTTTTACGATGTCTAACAGGATAATTGCGTTTAGGCGTGCGAGCGAGCGAGTCGTTGCTCTATCGGTCAATTGAAATTTTTCTTCATTCTCTTCGAGAAAATCTACTTTACCAACCGATTGAATGGAAAGATTATTAATTATATTGGTTATGAAAGGAAAGACTTGAACGTATCACAGATTCTGGAAATTTTATTGGAGGGGAAGGGAATCTTCAAGGTTTCGTTTCGATAAAAAAATTATATGTAATTAAAGTTATTTAAAATTTTTTAATGGTTCCCTTCTTATTAAGAAAGATTTATCTTTTTAATTATTGGAAGAATTAATTTCTTTAGCATTGAGATCTTAAAAAAAGAGTTACCATTTTTACACAATTTTTAAATTAAAGCTAAAATATCTAAAGTGAATTGCCACTGTTAAAACTTTATAATTTTCAAAATTTATAAAATCTGAACAAAATTCGAATAATATTAATTTTTAATCGCAACAACGACTGGCTCGTTCGATGATCATCGATACACGTTATCGTTGAATTAACGAAAAGATAAAAATAGAAGGAAAAAGGAAAAACATATAGAAAGAGAAACATATAGCATAGCTGCGTGACATAGTTTCTGGCCTTTCACAATTTTCGAATGCGTTTTACATATTACGCGGCTGTTACTTTCCTCGTTTTTATCATCCACGAGAACTGCGCAGATCATTGATTTCATTCAAAAAGGGACATTTTTTTTGTTTGTTTGTCCGTATAGCACGTACGTGATGTGTTTCATATAAAATAGCTCGAGGAATATATGTATACACACATGTGCAGTGTGTGTTACATACATGTAGAAAAACAAAATGTGAGAGAAGCACATCGCATCATTCGAGAAACGTGTTTGAACACACACGGACGATGATTCCGCTCAAGAGTTTTGTTTACATGGTCCATTTTTTCGAAGCTTCACGATGGGGATATCGTTGAAAAATTCTTCGTAACACAATTTTTCGTACAGATTTCTGTATCGATCTATTTACGATCGAATTATTAAATCGTTTACATTATTCAGATTCGTTAAATATTTCACGAATTATTATACAATTAAAAAATAAGTAATATCTTGATTATTAAATTTATTTGCATTTTATTACATTTCCAGTTTGAAATATTTGTTATTAATCGTTGTTCTATTTTTTTTTTTCGAAATAAATATTAGTAGAAAATATTATAATATATATATCGTTAAAGATTAGAATGGAAAGAAAAAATGTGTAATTTAAAAGAATTCTTTTCTTAAATTTTGATTTTTCTTTCACTCGAACAACGTTTTCCCCATCGTGAGCGATTTTTCAGTGACGAAGAAAGTGTTGAAAAAGAAAAAGAAAGAAAGAAAGAAAGAAAAAGAAAAGATTCAATTTGATTCACTTGTATCGCCATGCCAAACAATCGGGTGTATCCGTGACAGCTGAATTATCAAGAGAGCCCCCGGTGGGTGACAACCCTGCCAACCCTCTGACCATCCTATTCCTCGTGTTTCACCCCCTCCCTCCCCCGAATACCGAATGCGTCAGTGATCATCTCGGAAACATTGTCGATCAAAGGTGCTTTCCTCGCGTGCAACATCTGATATTAATTAACTTGCAATTCACTTCCGTGTCACGCGATGAATCTTGTCTCTCGTGATGTGAATTTGCCAAAGTTTCTTCAAATAAACTTTGGAAATCTTCCGTTTTGGAGAATCGAGGTCGGTGACGTTTTTTTTTTAGAATATTAAAATATTAAACGAAATATTAAATGACATATACTCAAGAAGAAAAATGTAGAAAATTTGAAAACTCGCTTGTTTATTTACTTGTTTATTAAAGAGACGAAAGTATCATTGATAAATTTATTAAATAACGCAAATTATGCGAAAGAATTTGAATCAATTCACGAATCACGTTATTTCAATCATTCGTTTGATAAAAATTGCTTAAATTTCACATAATTGATTAATATTATATTATTTCGATTAATTTACTCGTATAATATTATTTTTAAGTTATCCAAAAGAATGTGCCTTATTCTTCGCATAACATAACCTCTAAAGTGGAAAAATTATTTTGGTTATGAGCAATATATATTCGTTCAATTTTATCTTAGGATACAGAATTAAACAAAGACAATACGTTACGTTGGTAATTCGTTAAGTGAATAAAAGCATAGACCGAGGAAGTCTAGTCTGACGCGTTCACGGTCAGCATCCTTTGTTCAACACTGATGAAGATTTGCTCGGGACGCGTGCTGGCCGACGCATTGGCGCGGCAGCGAGCGCATTTCGGGGGATTCGTGTATTTTGTCTAGTGTTTATCCTCTGTGTGTACCCTTGCCACCACCAAATCACCATTCACCCTACAGCCGAAGATCGAAAGAGGCTCCGTTTTACGTACAGACTATTGTGAAGTACAGACCAAAAAAAAAAAAAAAAAAATGTGTCGAAATTAAAAATTTAAAAACGAGAAAAAAAAAAAAAAATGGGGCGAAATGAAAAATTTAAAAACGAGAAAAAAAAAAAAAAATGGGGCGAAATGAAAAATTTAAAAACGAGAAAAAAAAAAAAAAATGGGGCGAAATGAAAAATTTAAAAACGAGAAAAAAAAAAAAAAATGGGGCGAAATGAAAAATTTAAAAACGAGAAAAAAAAAAAAAAAAAAAATGTGTCGAAATTAAAAATTTAAAAACGAGAAAGAAAATAAAACGGAAAAAAAAAAAGAAGATGAAAGGAATGGAAAAATGAAAGAGATTGAAAAAAAAAAAAAGTCTGCACACGGAGAAAATATTCTAGAGACTCGATTCTCGGTATATTCTCGATCGGTTGCTGTGGATTAAGTTTCCCGCGTGAAGCTTTTTTTCTTTTTTACATGTACAGCTTTCAGGCGTCGCGTTGTTTGAACAAAACAAGAAGTGTATTTTACCTTAGAACGGTAACGCGATAAGCAGACCGTGTCGTTTTCCAAATTTCTCTTGTGACTTACCAGCTATTTCGGCCATTTTTTTAAGCAGTTCACCGACATTGGGAAATTCATAGATAAAGCGCAAGGGGACGCTCGAGTCGCGGTGCTCGCCTAACCTAAACATTACGAATCTAACTTGCACAATTGATCGGTTATTAATTCGTTCAGATTGTTAACGATGAAATTAACGGAGAAACGACGAGTTTCGAGAGTCGATCGTCCCCGAGTAAAATTATTTCTAGAAATGGTAGACACAAGTTTGAAATCTGTCGCGGTTCGGTCGCTTTTCTCGTGCGTCCATTCACTCAATTTCTACGTTTTGAATCGAATCGTTATTCGTTATTCGATACACAGCAGTTTCAGTGTGTGTCCGAGAAAGAGATCTACGGAGAGCAGAACACAATTTTATTTTGATCTTGTGAAGTATGCGCTACTTTCGTCGACATTAATCGTTGGCTTTTTCCAAGCATGTTTGCTGCCATCTTGAAACACCTTTTTCACTTCGATTCAAAGATGAATAAAAAAAAAAAATATATTTGAATTTTATTCAACAACTTTATTTGTGATTCTGATATAGGTTTTATCGGTTAGAGGAATAGCATAAAAGCTTGTACGATTTGCTTTGAAATACGATGAAATTGAAACTTGTTTTTGATATAAAAGTTTAAAGAGAAAAAGAAGGTATTAAATTAATATGTAAATTACGGTTGAAAATAATTCTCTGTAAATAAAGGAAGTCAACTTTATACGTAACAATTTATATTTTTTTTTTTTTTTTTGGGAAAGGGAAAAAGCGTAATTAGATAGTTTTCGTGTTTTGTTAGAACAGTTGCAACATTTGTTGTAACAAATTGTACAAATTGAATTATTATATTGTATGTGTTTATTACTTTTTTAATTAAATTATAGATGGGATGAAGAGAAAAATTTAACTTTAACAAGATGTCAGGAAAAGTGGTTTATAATATAATTCTAGAAATTAAGATTAAAGGAGAGCTCTTATTTCAATGAAAGCAGAAAAATTGGTAGAAATTCATATAAGAAAAGCTTTATATTTCTCGGAATCAACAACATTTGATTATTTATTTTTCAATTAATTTATAAAAAAAATAATTTCAATTCAAAATTTCAATTATTTTTGAAGCAAATCATTGTATAAACTTATTTTGTTTGCCTCTTTTTATAATAATAAATGATTTTTAATATTAAACACGAAATATGAAATGATTATAAATTATTTACTTTTCAACATTTATATTTAATAAATTTATATAAAGAATAATAATAATAATTTACATAAAAAAATAAATAACATCAATGTATATCATATCTTTGAAGCAAATTCATTTCTCATTGTTGACTTATATTTACATAGAATTAATCAACTATAATATAGTATTTATATTTTTCATTCTAAAATCGATTCACTTGTCCAAAAATCAATTTACGATTGGCACAATCTAAAATTAATGTGAAATTAATTCGATCACTCGCGAGACACACAAATTATTCGAGGAATGGAATAAGGCGCGTTTTCAATGGAGCGAAAACGAGAGAACGCCTAGACTCTTCCTGCCCTCTTCGCTCTCTTCTTTGAAATAGAATCTCGAGCGGACAACAGGCAACGTACAAGTATCCCTGTGAATCAGAAATTCAGGCTGGCATCAGGATTGCTCGGACAGAGCGTAATCAATATTCGAAGATCGTCTGCCAACATGGCAGTCCAGGCTCTGATGGAATTTCTCCTCATTGTCAGTTCCAAGCTTGGCTTCGACGGGCAACGCGATAAGAGGATCCTTCCGTTACTCTCGACTCACTCGATACGAGACGAATCTCGAATCGACGTTGAGTCGATAATGTTGGATTCCAAACGAAACGACGCGACGCCCGTGTCTCGTTAACACGTGTGCATTATCGGTTGCATCTATTATGCGAGAAGATATTCGAGCTCTCCATCTCTTTCTCTTTTTATTCTATACATTACAAATACATATATATCTATAAATATATATATATATATATAATTATTTATTTATTTACATGTTATTTATATTATATATACATATTTATAATATAAATAATATAAAAATATATACATAAATATTTATATATATATTATATATATATATATTTATATATATACATATATAATCGTATATATACAAATGTGTGTGCGTAGTTTCCAACTTGTGTCTGTCATGTATTACCACTCTATGTTGAATGAGTCTGCGAGTGATTGTATTCATGTTGCGTGACTGACGAAAACCGTGTGTATGATGGGTACGCTTGATTAGTGTGTGTCTACGTCTATTGTTTCTGTAACGGCGTACGGAACATTGCGATGGAGCATTCGATTTTCGCCGCGGAACTCGCAAATGCGCGGTAAAACGTTGGCGCGAACGTGTAATGGGTGGGGGAATATAGGCGTGGTGGGGGTAAACTTCTTCGAAAGTTAACCATCGGTCGTAACGTACGAAAAAAGCAATATCGTATGATGGTAATGGCGGTAATGGCGGGAAAATTTGAATGAAAAACGACGTGGTAAAAGAAAAAAAAAAGAAAAGAAATCGATGAAAATGCGAAATAAACGATTGCTCGCGCAATGCTGCGTACGCGCGTCCGTTTTTTTGCCCGCAAACGCGGGTTCTGTGACCGTGGTAACGCCCTTTCTTCTCGTTGGTTTTTTCCCACACGTAGTACGTTCTGGAGTTCCTTTACACCGCGGTAAGTTGCAGCTCTCTCGCTAATCGTTCATT